CAAGTGTTGCGGGAGCATCGATAGTGCGCTGATTTGATCATGGGATGTTTTACCAACAGTGCGCCTGCCTTCCAGCAGGTGGCAGCATTGCTTTGGTTTACTTATCACCTGCAGTCCTGGGCGAAAACGCTCCTTCGCGTTGCCACCCTGAAAAGGGAAGGACTTGGCAACATACGTGGTGCCTCCTTGGCAGTCTTTGATCGGCATTTGTGTAGTTCCGAAAAACACAGGACAAAGAAGCTCTTTGAAACGAAAAAGGAACGGCTCGGTCCAGTCAAAAAGAGGACAAATCTGCCAGACAACCATCTGAAGTCAAACACACACGAGATTGAAATGTGTGGGAGCTATGCATCCCTAACATTTTGTTAAAGTAATTAACACTGGTCATTTTTCCACAGTCACAGTATGTCCCAATGTCCCAAAATGTTTATGATGATGGTTTTTTTCCGTCCAAGGATCCAGTAATGAATGTGAATGAATGAATTTTCAAACACTTTCAGAGTAGCAGGCCTGACATGCATGAAATCTAAAATATGCATAATAATACAAAGCAAATTAATAATAGATCTTAGCCTTTGAAAGTTGGCCGGCTTAGTTGATTGACAGTGTGGCAGCACCCCAACCCATCCTGGTCTTACGATTATATGGATGGAATGATGTACACAGAAGACTGCATGCATATTGATGTGTGGATCACAGACTGGCCAGAGAAATATTCTTGTATTTTTGTTGGACATTTGACTGCTAATGTAATGTAAAAATATCTATGTTAAACTTTAATGAAGAGAAGTTCAAAAAAACAAATTAGATCTTAGCTAGCAATAACTAACCTTATTACACCATATTACAAGCTGTATTGCACACAATTGTTAAGTGTTAATAAATGAAAGTTAAATTAAAATTGTTAATAATTAACTGAGCTCAAGTTCTTTATGACATGATGTTTTATACTGCACACCTTGTTTCAGTTTGTTTAGTAAGCAATGATAACACCTGTTTTAAGTGTATGATCTTAACAAGATGTTTCAGAATTAGCTGATGATAACTATCAGTTTATAGATACATTAAACTGCCTGATGGAACATTATTATTAAGCGTGTTGCTTGGTAAAAGCACAAACAATTATTTTAACGCAAACTTCGGAAGTTAAACGCTAAAATCACTGCAGTGACGCCTCATAAACTTCATGCGTCATGCTCTGTGTGGTGGCCTGGTATCCTGTAGGATGTGATGGCTGTTCTCTTCACAAGAAACCCTCTGAATGAATGTAGCCCCAAATAGGTAAGTGGTTAATAGAAGCCGATTATTCATTTCAGTGCACTATAAGTCAGCTGTTCAAACCCAAGTGTGAGGACTTTTCAGCCAATCAGTCCTCTAATTAGTAATCTAATTAGGGACGTGCAGCGAAAACAAAATACCTAACGGCCCATTCTGGATAAGACTGACCATCTCTGTTCTTGAAGGACCTTTTGACGGCTGGATCTCGCAGGGGTTTTGCAAGTAGGGATAGGCTTGTTTACAAATATTCAGTTTTAGGGGTGGGGGTGCATAGGCATAGTCCAGAGCTAATGGTAGATAGAAGGAAGGGACTGGGAGAGTAAAAATAAACAAACATGGAAGTCATGCATCAAGCCTGAACGGGGGAAGTGTAGGTACTGGAGCCTAAGCAGGGCAAGAACGATTTAGGCACACGATCAAGGAACAGGTGAAATGAACTAGAATAACTATTCCTGGACATCTGATGCTCCCCCTTGGAACAGCAAGAAGCTACTGCAATGTTTGCTACATCATGCCCCTGACTGCTTTTACCATACTGTGAATATCATGCCACTAACTTAATGGATGAAAAGCTGTTAAACTGAAACTCCTAAAAAATGCTGAATTTTCGTTTGAGTCCCTCTAATACTGTTAAAAAATACAGTGCCTCGTCTTTCCCAGGCAAATGTTTCTGTGCTGCTTGTGATTCCCCCAGAGAAATTAAAGCCAGAGTGCCAGTGTGTGTTCCTGCTTTCGTGCGGGGGAACAGTGTGTGTGTGTGGAGAATACGTTTCTATTACATTGTGGGGACCTGTCATTTTGGCGTCGTGGGGAACATTTTTCAGGTCCCCACAAAGACCGGTGAATGCAATATAAAGACTAAAAATGTCTGGTGATGTCTGGTTACTTATGCTTACGGTTAGGGCTGGGTAGGGGTTAAGAATTAGAGTTTACCCCATAGAAATGAATGGAGAGTCCCTACAAAGATATAATTACCAACCTGTGTGTGTGTGTGTGTGAGTGTGTTGGGTGGGGTGTCAGTTATTCTCAAGATACACATGCTCTGCTGGAAAAGAAAATGCCAAGCTGTGATAATAAGCTGAATACACCACCTATTTAGTAATAGGACCAATGAATCTTATTAGCAGAGTCTGCCAAGTCGGATGCGCAGTCCTTTCCTTTGGGAGCTTCAGGAACATAATGCCTACAGGAGAACAGATATGCTTCCAGGTACTTCATCTTTCACGCATTCAGTGCTAAACAGGGCAGGCCCCATGCTAATAGCCTTCAGGCACTAATAACTCCACAGAAATTCTTCTTTCACACTGAGGGCATTGAACGAGACATCAGAGGCCATGGCAATAGGAACCATATTGTGCTGCGGTTCCACTTTTTATTCCAGCGAACTTGGATTATGGTGAAATATAGACAATGGCGCCTGCAGCGGGGATGATTTGTGATAAGACATTTGGCGCGACCACTGGGATAATTGCGGTTCAAGGAATTATAAAGTTTTGGTTTTTACTCTTCTCACAATAGTTCACTATTCAAGGCGTGACCTCGTTGACCTGGTTTGGAATCAATGAACAGCTTAACATAGTGCAAGGTTTCTGCGAGAGTTTCGCAAAGGATCACACATTATACCGTTAAAGTCGCAGGGTGTCTGGTCTCATCAGATTCTCGCTCCCCACTGAGGTCGTTTGAGGATGTTCCGTAACATGAGTTTGGAGACAGAAAGATAAATCTGTCACACCCCTGGATTTTCTGTTTTAGGCAAAAAGCACGATCCTCACAAAGGTGAGGCTTACTGCTAAGGCTCACGTCTCAAGTTCTCAGATATGATTTCTTGTGATAAATCAGATTTAAGCTCCACACTGAAGGCTGAACTGGATGCGACACGAAGAAAACTGCAGGTTCTTGCCTGAGTTTCTATATCCACTTCAAGCATCTCATTACGTCTTAAAATAAGATCTTTTTTCGTATCTCATTTCTGTTTTTATTGATCCAATAGGTACCTCAGAAGATATCCAGCATTCTTCCCAAGAAGAAAGGTTAAATTTTAAAATGTAACCATACAAACCACTTAAAGCAAAGAAACACAGGAGGCAGAGTTTCCAAACTGATGGAAAGTGGAATGAAAGTTCTTTAATTGCCAGGGTATTCAGTAAATACATTGAACACTTTAAAAACACTTTAACAAGCCACTGCAACATAGCAAAGACCATTAAAGAGGATAATCTTAGGTGACCCTTCAGTGTCATTCTGCCAGAATCGTATTTAGTTAAAAAAAGAAGACGACAAAAAAAAAAAAAGAAAAGAAAAAATGAGATAAATAAAATACCAAGGAAACGCAACAATAAGAACCATGGCTTCTGATTGGGGGAAGAAACACCATGTGACGCTCCAGCCAGGTTAATGCCAGAATCAGTGACATAGAAAGTAGTTACAAGTAGTCCGTTAAAAAGACAGAAGGGATCCTGCTTCTGGTGGCCGTAGGAGCCGGAGATATTAAAGGCACCTGTGGAGGTGAGGTGGCGTCACCTTCCGTATCGCAGGCTTGCCGAGGCTCGGCAGAAGGTGACACACGCTTCCAATGTAAAACTGTACAAAAAGTTGCGACTACGAAACGTCCATTTGTTAAAACTACCCTGCTGTTAAAAGGTACAGTAAAATGTGCAAGCCTCACAGTGCAGTCTGTGAACAGTACGATGCATTTGTTGCTTTTGTCCATAAAATTTTGCCTGGGTAAACGAGACTGATCTCCCTGTGTAAATTACGAGGGTGTTCCAGGTGTAGCATCTGGCAATTAGGGCAGCTGATGCATTTGGGTCCTACAGAATGATTATTGCAAACTGAGCAGTTTTTTTTAAACAAAACAGTGATGCTTCAATAACCAATTGCCTGACTAAATGTGACTTTTTCTCGTTTTTGAATCTCGCTGCATTATTACATACTTGACTGCCAGTCTTGGATTAGACTGAACTGAACGGAAAACTCTAAATGTCATATATAAATTAAGTATTTATGTTAATTACCCATTTTAATTAATTTGCTATGTATGATTAACTGCCGCCTTCCAGGGCAATCTATTAACATTTTGTCATGCTTAATGCATATATCAACTGTGTATGGCACGTAAATTTCATATATTTTTCTTAGTCTATTTTATATGAGAAGTTGTTTTTTAAAGCACGACATGTGGAGCTGTGCACATGCCTCTTGTACTGTGCTATGGGAGGCACGAGATTTCTGTTTGCCCTCCAAACACGTGAGATACTTCACAACAAACATGCCTTCACTAAAGCCTCTGGATTTGGTGAGACTGAGAAACTCAGGGCTATTTGTGCGTGCATGGAAGCCCCTATCACAGCACCGGTGTAGGTGTAACGCAGAATCATCTGGTCAAAGACGCAAGAAAGTGCTAAAAAAAAAATTAATTTGGCTTCTAACAAATGTGCTTAAAATACTGGCTGCTCAGGTTTGTTTCAAAACAGTGAAGCAAAGGATCAACTTATTGACATTGAATCCTTAGTTCTCCTCTCCTGTTCCAAGCTCCATGCCAACATGCATGTATCTGAAGGTCTCAGTATTACCCTGAATGAAACACTCATCAAAGTTTTCCTTTCACAACTATGTTCTAAGGGCAGAACCAACAATGATTGGATCAGAGGGATAACCAATAAGATTGTTGAGGAGGTGGGCCCAAGCAACTAGAGGAGGCAGTACCAACCAATCAGATGTCTTGGTCCCGCTTCCTCTAGTTGCTTGGGCCCACCTCCTCTACAATGTGATTGATTATTTCTCTAAATCAATAATTTTTTGTTCTGCCCTCAGAACACTTTTGTTTAAGTAAAACCCCCACAAGCGAATGAAACATTGTTCCAACAGGAGCGAGTGCTTTGAGTGTTTGAACCTTCAGAAAGCACCCTGAATTCAAAAAGAAGCAAATCAGCCACCTGCTACCTCATTGCTTTAAAAAAAAAAACAATTTTACATCATTAATGAGTGCTTAGAAAAAAAAGTTATTTTAATGCAACTGGACTTGTAATCAAAGGGCTCTGAAGTCAGGTCCTTGAAGCGAAAAATGTGCGCAACAGCTAAAAGCTTAAAGGATTCTTACTTTAAAAAGGACTCACGTGTAAGCTACCGTAGTCACTTTGGATAAAAAAAAAATCTGCTAGCTAGCTCAGTGATATAAAGTAACATGTGAAAAGTGAAATACAGAATTGGAGAGAGATGCACTCTACAGAAGACACTTTTATATTTTCACTTATCTTGTCCTCCTGGTATATGCTAAATATCAGTGCCCTTTCAAGAGAAGGAGAAGCGATGTGAGTGGACAGCAACGTTGTGTGTTAATGCCTACATATGTTAAGCATATGCCCAGCATATACCCTTGAAACTTCACAGGAAAACCAATTGAACACCAAGAGTAGCGATCTGGGGTGGACCGCCGTATCGAAAGCATCTAGCCGGCAGGGCTGGTGAAGGTGGGCAGTTTTGGTGCACGGGGAGGAGGAATCTCCCAACCCTTGCTTGTGGGGGGGGGTCTGGGATGTGGTGAGCACCATAGATACCTCTGCTTGGCTGGCCGGGTTGTCAACAGTGACGGTCTACATGGAGTCTCCCATGGAGTCAGAGTCATCCAGAGAGAGGGGCAGGTATAGGTCCTGTCACACCAAAGGAAGGGCGAGCAGCATGAGTCAACGCCACCGTGAGTCTTACTGTATCAGCATCGCTGGCACTGTATTCCTGGGTGGCTATAATATTTGGGAAGGAACTAATCTGGGAGGGGGGGCACAGGGTTTGAATGAACCATGGCTATAATTATTATATATATTGGGGGGGGACATGTGAAATGTGCTCACAATGTCCTCCCGAATATATATTATGATTACAGCCTTTTTCCCCCTAATGTTGGCTACATGGCTACGGCCTCGGAATGAACGTCTGAAAGTGCCCCTCCGGTGATTTACCACCCCCCCCCACCTTCGAGCACCTGCCCCTCGAAAGGCCTCTGCACAGCACCGTCAATGACAATCATGAAAGACAGTCCTAGCATGCTGTATCCCTATCCAGCCACGTAACCGGCCGTTCAGTGCTGAGGAGTGTGCAGCCTGAGTTGTGTACCTTGTGCTTGCGGAGGTTGCCGGGGCTGGTGGGCGTGGAGATGGGGGACTGCTTGGAGATAGGAGTGGAGATCTGACTGCTGGAGCCGGTCCCGCTGGCTACGGAAACACAGGAGGGACAGGGGCGGACAATGAGCTGCGTTAAGCTACGGCCTGGCACCTCTGCGCCCTCCCAGAAGGCCGGCCAGCCCTGGCCCGGCCCCTCGTTTGCCGGAGGAAGGCCTGTTTCTGTGTCTGAATGCCGCTTCCTCCTGGCTGGAAGATGAAGCAGCATTGCTGCATGCACGGGGACCGGTTGCTAGGATACCACCAGAGACTGTTTACATCAGACGGTGGCGTGATGTGTGAAGGACAGGCTTTGGATAAGTGATGCCTCTGTGTATCTAAAAGAATAGCGTGTGCTTATTTATATGCACCAACAAGGTATAACTTAAACGAAGCATGCATCTGTTTATAGATTTTATGAAATGGTTCTGATATTTAGTCTCTCTCCAAAACTGTATTAGAATAAAATTAATTCACTTGCAAAAGAAATTCCTTTACATCTTTAAAATCACTATAAAAAATAATCACATGATCGATATACGCAATTCTTATCATGTGACCCAGGGTGTTTCTGTACAACAGAACATCCTTTTTCCACGTACAGACACTGTCTTATACGTTGGCTTAAATTATTAAAAAAAAAATAATAATAATAATAATGGCATTAAAAATATCACATACAAACCTGCAGTAGTGCAATCTCTGGAGATCATTCAAGCATTCAGATATTTGATAAGCCTTCAGATATGCACAACTTTAAAATGTATGGAAATTTATAACAAGAAACAAAACGTAAAGTACAGTAAATATGAGAACGCAATAATTGTAAAATATGATTCTTTATTGTGAAAAGAAATCAACAATAAAAGTAAATATAAATCAACAGAACCAGCAAAACAATAGTAATGAGAAGAGTAAGTTTGAAATCACCACGGGGCAATTTAGCTCTGAAAGTTTCCGATTACAAACAGGATAAACTTGCATAGCAGTTTAGGGTAGTGATGGGAGATCTGAGAGCCCAAAACCCAGTGAGACTGAGATTACAGCATGATGGCACTGACTGCCTGCTCTCACCCATTTCAAGGCAATAAAGTCACCAGACAGGATCGCGCTAATCAGACTGGGACTGAGGGCTCACCCAACTGCGGCAGCTTTCGAAGCCTCATTTCTTTCATCTCTGGGATTTGAGACCTGAACGAAAAGGAGGGCTGTCACTATTGGCTCCTCCGCAAGGTGCTTGAAGAAGGTACTTCACCTAAGTCGCTCTCTGGGAAAATTAGTTTTGTAAATTAAATATTATTGTCCGGTAAATTGCCGTCCACGTAAGCTACCTTGGATGGAAGCCTTCACCAGGAAGCGAATCGGCATACGTGCAGAATGGGCACTGCTATGCCGAAATCCACTAAACTCCGGTGCATGGGGATTAATCTTAATCTTAAGTGAAGCACAAATCACAGAGAGTCCTAGTATATTTTGCCCATTTACAGGAAACAGAGGAGACCTTTCACTCCACATCGATTTACCGCCTATTCAGCCTCTGAGGTTAGGGCCGCACTGGGTTTAAACATTACTATCCCTTTGAAGGCAGATGGACATCTGCAGCATGGCCTGCCTGTATTGGACACAGCTGCATGCTTTTCTGGTGCGAGCATCTACTCATCAGGAATGAGGACGTTACTGTTGGTGTGAAGAGGGCAAAATGCAGGGCTGAGTCTGAACTGTGGAGGCAGATTTGCAGCTTCTACTGAATACTGAAACGCAGAAGAAACATCAGTGTGGCTTTGCCTACTTCAGCTCAAGAAAGCGCTTTGAATGGTCTGCAAATGTTTGTATTCTTAGAGGGCCCATTCAGAATCTTAGGCATCTTGGGCCCAGTTTGAGAAGCTGCCCGTCAGGAGTGTGTCTTCATTGAGTCCTGGTCCCTTGTTCGTCTCGTCTAACAGCTGCTGAGGCTGATCCTCATGCCCTCGAAACACTATTGTCATTTGTGTCCTGTGTGTCGGGAACAATGTAGCAGGTGCAACTTAATCACCAAAGTGAATATCTGTGCAGAGACCTTATCAGATCCTCAGCGTGCGCAGGAGCTCAAAGCGGGTGACTATCGGCGCATTCGTGATTTGGTGCTTAGCCCTCGCGCGTGACTGCACGCGCACCTAATGCTTGCAGTGGAAGTCTGGAAACTAAACGGGAGGCGGGACAAAGAATGTCTCAAGATGTACCAAAGAACATATGCTAAAGTATGCTATGCACAATAAATAATCTCAGAATTTCAGGAATTCACGTGTTCCTCTTGGATTTCCGACATATTGACAGTAGCCATGCCGCACCTTGTGTATATATCCTGTACCGGAAATCACGATTCAGGCTTACGTACGCATGCACCCGTCCCTGAACGCTAACAGCACGCATGTAATGTCATACCAATCACATAAGCAGACCTACCTAAGTGTGTCAAGTAAATTAATGGAATTTATAATACAGATATGCCACTAGTAGTACAATTTTGTGCCTGTAGGGAGCGCTGGACGGCCCTCTCCATTGAAAGGATGTTGCTGGAAATGGTTTGTTGGATTTACATATAAGCATATAACATGAAACCACACCCATAAAGCCCGATCCACAGGGCACGGGGGGGGGGAAACAAGGTTAATACAGAATGCATAAAAATGGCAGTAACATAAAACTACAAGAAAATCAGCTGGAAAGCGTGATATTGCTCAAAAAATGGACATGGCTGAGAAATGTTTCTCTAGTTCCAGGTCTGACAGGAAAACTGTATATTTATGTGGGTGAATGAACAGGAAGGGATCCGTTTTCTGGTGGCACATGAATCATGAGTGAATCAGTTATTAAGTGTCTCACTGGATTCGACGGGGGACTTGGTGCGACGAGAAGGGCCTGGGCTCTTGGTCTTCTGTGAGCTGCTTTTAGGGATCGACTTCATGGCTCTGCACTCTGTGAAGGCAAACGCAGACACAGAAGGGCGCCTCTGTTAGCCCATTGAGAACACTTTGTTCTGTTATTAATACATGCCATTCATAGTTTATGAGTATTTCTTCTATTAATGCTTTAAATAGCTATAGGAAACTTTTAACCATTTAGTTCTACTAAAGCCAACCTTTCAATGAGTTTACCAAATCTGCATCTACTGTATCCAGGGGTGCCCCGAGAGATTTTGCGCCCCATGAAAGCATATTGCATATCATATTGGGCCCCCAACCCATTACTTTCCAAATATTTTAGGGCTCCTGTCACTCAGGGGCCCTTGGAATCGTCTTAACTCTCCTCCCTTTAAGGCATCCATGACTGTATCTATCACTAATTAGCACTTCCGTTGTTTTGCACTATGCCATCTAGCAAGTTATTGTGCATGATTGATTCTTGAACCATGTGGTTGTATTACTTCAGACATGTGTGTTGTAAAAGTCATGCAGAATCAAACAAACCTGCAAACACACACCCACACACACAAACATAAATGCACACCAGCACAACCAGGCACACTGACACATAGACTTCACAGTTTTCTGAATGCAACCAACCTTGATTAAAACTTCCATGGGCTGATTTGGATTTGGCTCCAGGTGGAAAGTGTGCTGCAAGGAAGGATTCAGACTGTTACGGTGATCAATATACAATTCACGGGGTCATTTTCCACTGAGAAGGCAAATATCTGGACTTCATCAAAGCAGGTGGTTAGAAGTTACTTTAATTAGCCCATGAACGTATTTAATGGGGTAGTGAATTTCAGTATTATTGGTACATTCTGAGGTTGCCTCATACACCGTATTTTCTGGGATTGTCTGGGAATTTGGCCCACTGTCCATATCCAAGATAAAAAAAAAACTGAGGACTTCCTGCATTTGTGTCAAGCCTGGCTCTGGCCAATCAAAAGAGTTCTTGTACAAACAGTACAGATGTTAGCTATAGTATAAACAAGAGATTATGGGTCTAAAGCTAACAATAAGTAAAACAGACTAGACATTATAGTAAAGCAAAGGCAATTTTTAGTTAATAGTGCTGGTATCATGGGGTTGTTTAACCTGGAGAACTAGGCTGTGGTACAGTATGTGCAAGATGTTTGCAGAACTGAAGCATCCAGTCGATGTGCAACAACATTCAGAAATGTGCCCATTTAAATATTAGTCTAAGGTCTTGCGAAAGATACGCTGGAATGCAGCCCCCCAGATCCAAGTACAATGACCTGCATCTCTGTTACCCAAATGAGTGCTGGGTCTCTGCTTCTCATTCCTCACAGACATGACAACGTGACCGCGAGAGCAGCTGCTTTATTTCATCAAGACGCACAATAAAACCACACTATCCCTCTCCGACACACACAAACAAAAGAAACAGACCCTCACGTTAAAGTAGAATAATCTGATACAGGAAGACACACTTAAATAACTGGGATGTAGATGAGGGGTGGCTAGGGGTCTGGATCGTACCATCTTTGTTATCTGTGCCTGGCTGATTTTTTTAAAAACCATTCAGCTTCACTAATGGCTGCTCTAATTTGTACAAAATGGTTTCTGAACATCGTGTCTGTACAGATGCACATCGATTTAGGCCTTCTTGAATGCAAACACAGTAATAATGAGTGCGCCTGCGTAATGAGTATGTCACAGTCAGCACATCTCAAGATCACGGTTTGTGTAATACCGTGTTATACTTTATATCTGTGTTTTGTAGTGCTGTGAAACTGCAGAAGTATTTCAGGCCATATGGCTTAGATATGATGGAACGCGGCACGTGTTACAAGAGAAAAACACCATGTCACCGGTATAGAAGATTGCAAACCACTTCTCTAATAGGCCATGGACACAAACCTGCACCCTTTAGTCTTATTTTCCGGGGGCTGTTCCTCCAAGGAGGCTAATAGCTGTGTTTTTCCTCCCCTGCAAAAGGGTGCGCTCCCCCCAGGGGCCCTAAGGCGTACTCAGCAGAGTTATAAAGGTTTTTTCATAAAAACAAATGTGAGATTTCAAAAGCATGCAGAACACGCAAACAAGGAGGATTGGGGCAGAAGCTCATGTCCTTTGTTGGTTGTCGCAATTTAACAAACAGTGTAGCTGCTATAACAGACTGCTATATATATATATGCAAGCCACTGTAACGCTGCCATATTGGGACCTCTGCAGCGCCCCTAATGCTAATTGCTGACTTGCCACGCTCCAGTATGTGTAAACATACTCCACCTGAGTTATGAGACTCCCTAACGAAACAAAGAAAATCTATAAAGCAGTATCAAAGCACATATATTTAAAATAATATTAATAAAACTGATGAATGTTAAAGCTTGTGGGGGCGGGGGGGCTTCACCCTGTAAGGAAATAAGGGAATTTCTGCCCCTGACTGCAAAATGGCACTGCTGTAACATCTCTGCTGCACCAAAAATCAGATTAAATCCTTAGAGGACTGTGTGAGGCCTTAAGAAAGAGGTTAATTGCCCCACTGTGCTGAGCCTTTTTTTAAAAGGAGCATGGGGGGGTGCCGCAGCAATGTAATCTGATGACGTGAGTGTGTACATTCAGTTTAATTGCATTCTGGCCATTTAATAAGAAGCGACAAAAGAAACATTTACTTGGAGAAATAACGTGTTTGTGGCGCACTGACTGTGGAAAGCAGAACGCAGCAGGCTGCACGGTTTGCTGGCCGAGGTCAGGACTTCACAAAAACATATGGATTTATGTCACTTATGGATTTTTTTGGATCCGGCACGTTTTGCCGTGACAGACCAGCATCCCCTGACTTGTGTTCCACACGTCAAAATCTATCATTTAGTGGTCATTCCATCCAGGCAAATGTAATACAGAACCAGTACGTCTGAAACTGAAACTGGTATCTGCTGTTATTTGTTATGAAGATACATAACGCAAACAGAGCATACAGTGCACAGTATATTGTAGCTTCGTCATAATAGAATAAACTTATTATGGGTATGTTTGAAAAACACCATACCCCTGAACCGAATAGGTTGTCATGGAAGCATTGATATTTAAAAGATAAAAACTGTTCTGTGCTGTAAATATTAAGTCATGGCTACAGTAAATATGTCTGATGTATATTACTACAAATCACATTTTCCGTGACTTTGATGAAAAAACACATCCAGAAATACAGCTTGCTTTTAGAAGCGATGCAGTGATTTTGTTAAGGGTTATTAAGTACCAGGAAAGTACTGAAGTACAGTAAATCCAAATTAAATAAAAACAATATCAGAACACGATACACATTTTATAGAGAACAGGAAGACATAGAAAGTATGGCCAAAGTCAAGCAGAGAATATTACTGCCCTACCGTTCTCATCCAATGAGAAGTCATCTTGAGCGTATCGAAACTTCTCTGGACCGCAAGCAATAAAGACATCATCATCACCGAAGAAGTCCTGGAGGCAAGTGACCTGTGCATGGCAGAGAGCATAATAGGTTTAGGTGACACAGCCAATGACGTGGGACACCAATCCAGACGAGCCATGAATCTGTAATAAAACTGAATGCATTATGACACAATAAAAATAAATGTTAAAAGAAAAACAATGACTTATATTGCATTCAACCCACTTCCTGTTCGACAAAAAAGTAAATTGTCATCAATAATTCATTTCAAAGGGTCACAATAATCTAAGATTTTGATTCCACTAAATTCAACAAACAATGTGGATGTCACTATTACTTTGCAAATTTTGGAGACTGGCTAATCACAGCAGCATTGGTTTGAAAATCCCAATTCTGTGGGTAATTACAAGTGTGTTTTCCAATATTATACAGTATAACTGCAATGCTGATGGATGCGATCACAAAACAAATATTCCCACAACTGCATCGCCGAGCAGCTAAACCTGCTACTTTGGTTTTGGTGATGCTTAGCATGTGTGCTACTCCCCACTCCTTTAATCCCGCAATCGCAAAGAGGGCCAGAAAACAAATGACTATAATTAGCAACGGGTTCAGGCTGCTCGTCCCCTTTTCCGGCTGCCAAGGCCTAATCCAGGACCCGCCAACTGTTCACAAGTACCCAGCCCCTAGGTAGTGAGTGATTTGAGGCCATGCTAATGCTGTGGTGATGAGATGCTTCAAGTCACGTTCTTGTGTATTTATGTGAATATGGAGATATATAGCGATGAGACTACAAATTCCATGAGTCCGGTGGTCATCTGGTCAGGAATATGTAAAGTGTATAGGCGGGGCTTGAACTGGGTGCATGTGTGCGCACCCACCCCTCTGGGTTCAGTTGCCCTTTTAGTGGGAAAGCCGTCGGGAATGCAGCTCTGTACTGAGCAGTGACGTAATAAAGTTGCGACGTTCTGTGTACTTCGGCCTCTGACTCCTTTACTTTACATTATGCACCCCTCAGAGGATACAACACTCTTCACCAAAAAAAACTTTATAATTCCATTGCTGCTGTTCATTAATTGATCTGACGACAAAGCAGGTCCACAGAATCCATTAGGACTGACAGATATTTCTATGATGATCAATTTGTTATTATTCTGTGTAATTGCTGTAAACAATGAGTTGCACTGATGGATTGCATATGAGTGACTCATGTCCTAAATAATAATGCAAGTAATAATCGCCATCTTCAGAATGTAATTCAATGTTAAGAACTTGGCTGGCAATTATTAACCGGATGTGTGATGGTCACTCAGCTGACCTTAGCTGAGGCTGGGTATAACTGCTTGATACACTGAGATAATCAGCCGCTGCCAGAAACAGAGCTACAGAAACGGATAAGCAATAATAATGGCACTATGTGTCAGATACGGTAACCCGATTTAGCAGATCCCATTGATTCAGCTAGCCATGGGCCGCTGGATGTGTATTAAGGTGTCCACTAGAACTCCAACTGAAATTGAAAGGTAGCAATTCAGTTCTTGAATCTTGAATCATGGTTCACCATTGATGTCTAGTTTGACGCCCATCTAAATGTACATGCCCATGTAATCCATAACATTAGGGCTAATCCTGACATTGTGTTTGTCATTAAATAAAACTTGCTGCTTGACTTATACACTAATGGTTATTTGGTTTTTTCTTCACTTTTATTACATCTCTGTAATTATTTTTTATTTAAACAAATGAAATAACAGGCAAAACCATAGAAAGCACATAGGAAATCCTTGCATGGAGACTGATTTCCACCATTAGATTAATCGGCTGCTTCTGGATTATCCTGACGCAGTAGGTCTCGCTCGCAGTGAGACTGCAGCAGTGGTTAGCTTTGGCACCTCAACAGATGCGGCTCTGTGGTGACGCTTCATGACATAGCTCCTATAGCAGCGCATTATGCTTATAGTGCAAAGGTTGTGGGTTCAAATCCCAAGTTATGCACATAAATTGTAACTCCTTCCTCCACTGTAAGTTACTTTAGATAAATGTGTGAGGTAGTGCCATAATATTATTTTTGATATATATTTTATATATATACATTCACTTTGGTTGCATTTAATGATATCATTAAAATATCCTCTTTTGAATATTTCCTATATTTGTGACTCAAAAGTTAGGAGTGGTTTTATGTAAAGGACATTGCCACGTTGAAACAAAATGAAGACGTGATTTTAGGAAGTCATTCTCATTATGATAACAGTGATGCCATGTTGAGTTCACTTTCTAAAAGCCACTATAACCTGACCTCTCCACTATGAGAGCGCATGGCGAGACAAAGTATCACTGTGGAAACAAACATGGTAAAAAAAAAAAGACATTTAGCCAGCCACTGAGTCCTGCCATCCGGAACAGACACTGTTACTAGAGGCATCGTTTTGGAGCGTGAGCAGGTCATGAAGAGCTGCAGTTAGGGAAAGAAAGTAAGACCCGTAACTATTAATTGATTTTCATATAGATGAAACCACACATATTCCACAAAGCAAAATGTCAATTCTGATACAAACCGAGAGATGGAAGAGTCCTTTTCCATCTGAATTTTTTATCATTTATGTTTGAAAACATTTTATTCAAGAAAATTGGCATTCACATATATATATATATATATTCATATATTTGATTTTTGCTTCTGTGACTGGTTTTCTCTTTTTATCTGCTGTGCTAATCTTGTTTTACTCTGTAAATATGAAGTACATTGATTAATTGGCAGGATTAAATGTATGAACGCCAGCTATGATGACATATAACTGCCATATTCTGTACTATTAGTCGGTGCAGGTCTGCTGATTCAGTCTCTTAGCTTTCACTGTGCCTGTCAGATAAAAAGAAAATCATGAAAAAAAAACATCTGTTAACCTGAAAGCGACGGGAGCATCTCATTGCTGCCACCAGCCTCGGTAATCCTAGCAAACTTCAGCACTCTGGAAAAACTGAAAGCGATTAGTCTTGCTTTCATTAGCAGACAGGGAATCGCAGGTGTGGGGGATTAGCATGCGGAGGGGGCCTCATAGCGTAGACGCTAACGCACACTCTTATGCTCACTCTTTTTCTCCTTAGGGTCCTTGTCGCTGGCAGAGATTTCATTCCACCGTTTCCATGCGTCAGATATTTCCATACGTCAGGATGAGGACGGGAGTTTTGTCCTCCTGGCTTTTACAGGCAGTAATTAGAGCATTAAAAATGGCAGCCAGCCTGCGACTGCACGTCACCACGTACCATGCAGATCTCTGCAAGGGACGGCCCAGGCGGCAACGATGCTGCAACGCAAACAGGCAGCATGCAGAGAGCCTGACGCACAGACGTGTATGCGTGAGGAATACGAGTACAAACTCCTGGCCGTAGAGACAGGACTGAGAGCACCGTACCTGAAATGTGGAAAGAACTCGGTCATTTTAAAGAGGAAGGAGAAAGCCCTAGTGACACAGCTGTGGGCCAGTGTCACTCAGAAGCTAAGATACTGGGAAGAAGGCGGGGGGGGGGGAGAAAGTGGGGGGGAAAGCTGGAATGAGTACTGTCCTGCAAAGAGACTGTGTATATCATACAGAATAATCTTAGTCATATTTTATCTGGATTTGGCAGCACACTGGACATGCAGCTAGACTGCAAATGAAATCATCGTCTCTGTCCCTGTTTCCCTGTGCTCTTTCCACCCACGATTCCTAGACGTGCTGTTTAGATGGACAGGTGCCTCTCATCAATTAAATATGTATTTATTTTTTGTGTCACGTTCAGCGTGCATTCCACCACATACAGCATTATTCACCATGACCCCCGGAAAAACTACTTGTGGAGTGGAAATATACAAATGAATATTCCATAGAAAAACTATTAAACAGGCTGCATAAAACATCCTGTCAACGCCAGGGCTGAACTCTAGGCACAAAGATTACTGGGCTACCAGAATCCTGGCTGGCACAATTTTTGAGGAACCGCGTACCTTTCAGGCGTCGAACTGGGCCAAATAACTGGCCGAGGCAGGGGAGACAATGGACGAATACAAAGAGTTCTGGAAAAAGCAAGGGAAGCAAGCCATTTGGAAGGACTACAAATGCTAAATTTGGCTGTGCAATCACAGGTTTTAAGTAATTTAAGAAAGCTTTGAGCAGTTTACTGCCGTCTTCCACGCACTTCACAGTTAACGCCAGCAGGGGGTGTCAGCGATGCTAAGTACAGCTGGATCTGTGTGCTGCGGAGGATACTGTATGCTGTAGCCTCGGAGGAACGTGCAGCCACGGCTGTCCTGCATGTGTGAATGCCAGCCGTCAGCTCCCTGGTGTCCTTTCTCCCACGCCCCCACTGCCATATTCCCCACCCCCCCCACACCATCCCCGGCCACAGAACCAAAACCCGATCCCTGCCTTGCCAGCTGTCCGGCCCACCTGCCACCTGGCCCTTGACAGATACTGCATTACTGCTAAGCGATTCAAGGCCTCCTCACAAGTTACAGCGCCGGACCGATCCCACGACCCTAAAGCAGCGTCTCTGCATTTAATACAGCCATATAGATTCTTCCAGAAACACTAGTACATATGCATAGTAAACCATGCTTTTGTTTTAGCAGTGAATATGGCATCCATTGGCCTACAGTTTCTTTTGTACCAAAATGAATGGCGGGTAGCTAATGCGGCAGAAAGGCTGTGCTGGTATTACTGAGGGCCTGATGGCTACTTTGTAACATGGGGAGCAGGACCTCAGGCTGAAGAGCAGAATAGCATCAATAGGAATCCAACTAAAGAAGAAACACAAAAGGACAAGCAGAAAAAGAAACATTTCTCTCTTTGAATATAATTCATTTGATTCTGATTCTCTGATTAATATACAGAAAATGGGCGATTGTAATCTAACCCAAAATTAACTAGGATACTTTAACACCAAATGGTACATCAATAGGGAATACATAAATGGTAGAGAATGTATGAATGAGATATTCCTGAAATGGAGAATAATTCCTTTCAAAGAGAATTTGCAAGACTCTTACCAGAAGTGTGCACTAATCACCTTTGTTTTCCCAAAT